GAATAAGATGTTCTACAATGTTTGGCAAGCTCACAACTCTCACATCTCAAATTTGACATYTMAACAGAYTMAAATAAAGTAGGAAACAGACTCTTCAAAGACCGAAAAGATAAATGACCTAATTGATTATGCCAAAGCATAACCGGACTCACACACTGAGAAACAAAAGACTTCTTATCCACTGGCTCTTTCCAATGAGGACTCTCTCCAAGCAAGTAGATCCCATTCGTCTCACGTCCAGTCCCAATCACCTTCCTCGCCTCCAAGTCCTGAAAAACACATCGGTCAGAGAAAAAGGTTACTGAACAGTTCCGATGTTTGGTAATACTACTGATTGAAAGCAAATTAGTGTCAAGTTTAGGAACATGCAAGACAAAGGATAAAGAGATAGTACCAGATAACTTGATGTCACCCTTGCCAGAAATGGGAACAAGAGAGCCATCAACAATGGATACTTTATCTCTACCAGAAGACCAAGTGATAAGTAGTGAACAATGATGGCAAGCTAGTCATATGGTCAGATACTCTTGAGTCTATCACCCAACAGTGTTCAGTATTACCTAGAGTTGAAGCATGGTAGGTTGAGGCCCGGATACCTGAATGAGCAAATGCAAATGTGGTAGAGGCTGATGGTGACTGAGATGACTGGGCCGAATTCCCGACCTCCTTTTCCAACTGTATCAGGGCAGCCCGAGCAGCAGCTAAGGTATCTAGGGGTGTGCCTTTTGTGCCTGACGAGGATGCAAAATCAGTATTCATAGCCATATGAGCATTACCTCTTTTATTCCTCAGCTTTGCTGGGACTAAATGAGGGTGGAGCTTCCAACATGTATCTTTCGTATGCTTGGGTTTCTTGCAATGTTCACATACCAGATCCCGTTTGTCCTCCTTCATGTCTCTTTCTGTATCACCCCCAGACTTAGGTTTAACTGCTGCCAGGGCTGGGGGAAAGGGCTGATGTTGCATCATAACTTTCCTCCTGATTTCTTCACTATGCACCAGGGAGTATGCTTGAGAAAGGGTCACACTGTCTCTTGTCAGTATCTGCTGTCTCACAATGTCATAATCTGAATTCAGGCCAGCCAGAAATTCAAACACCCTATTGGTCTCGACTTGCTTTCTATGGGTCTATGCATCTTTC